GCCAGAGTATGATCTGTCTGCGTCGAGGGCTCTCCTTTTGACTGACTTTTTATACTGCAAAGTGGTCAACTTGTCTTTCTCGAAGAGTAATGAAAAGGACAATAAGATCTGAACAACACATTGTGTCCACATGATAATTTGGAAAGTTACATTTATCCACTTAACAAATGGATTTGGTGGTGTGTATTTCAGTTCTGTGCTCACAAACATTAAAAGAATGAACATAGATCCTACAATGAATATGTAACTAGTCTTCCCACATGATATACTTCTTTTGTATTGAAGGAATGATATACACAACAAGAGTATCCATTCTATCACCATAATAGTATTAGGGACAATCATATAAAATGCATAACCCTCATTCTCCATTGCTGCATCATAAAGTGAGACATCCATTAGTTTAGCTATAACTGGGAAGAGTAAGTTGAACGTTGAATACATTGCCAAAATTACTATACAAATTGTTTGAAAAATAAGGAGCCATCCCCATCTTGTTACATTAGTTGTTTTGGGGGCAAAAAGTAAAACAAAGAACGAATAGACCATTGGAATAAACATAAGAAGTGCAAACAACCAGAGTATAAATCCATATAACACGGGTGTCAACTGTTCTTGGTCTTTGTCGAAAAAGACGGGATTATTACTGTCAGCAAACCATTGGAAAAAAGCGTTGTCTTTGATCGACATGAAGTGATTTTATACAGTGGAAAAAGGGTTTAGAAGAGGTGAATATATTTTCGAATTTTCGTTTCGTAGTTGATTTTCTTTTGAACGATTTTTTTTAAAGTTTATGAATAACATTATTAATAACACTACTTTTTTTTTTAAAAATTTGTGATGAAATAATAGTTTTTATTTATATAAAAATAATACTTTTTTCCTTTGTTTTTATTTAGTAAATAATATTAATAACAAATAATAAGTATTAATTTAAAAACGTCAAAGTTCTAAATATAAACTATAGTTATTTATATTAATAATTATTAAAATTTTAAAATGGCAATGAAAAACACAAAGGGGAAGTTAAAAATAAAGTGCAACGTGTAGAGAATAAAAAAAAGAACAAAAGCGAAGAAATGCAAACGAAGGAAGAAGTAAAAAGAATGTGGAATAACACTATAAAAAGATTGAAAAGTAACTTATATCCAGATAATGTTCGGTAAATTGTTACATCCACTGAATCTTGAAGAGTATCGCATGGATATACAATTAGACACTCCGTATGAAAAGAAAAGTATATTAAAAAAAGACACTGATGGTTGTGATATCTGTGATGTAATTAACAAAATTATCGAAAGACCACAATCAAAACATGAAAATTGTTGGAGGGAATTACGTGGATTACTGAATGTGATGCAACCACAAGACTGTGCAAGGTTGTGTGAGAACAAACCACTTTTAGAAGAGATCGAGTCTGTTATTCTCTCCCAAAATCAGACAGCCACCACAGTTGATTCCATAGAATGTGCATCAAAGTGTGGACATTCATTTGTTTATTCAAATAAAGTCGGCATATGGAAGGGGGATATTACTACTTTAAAAGTCGATTCAATAGTAAACGCATGTAATAGTGCACTTCTTGGGTGTTTTTCTCCAAATCACAAATGCATAGACAATGCAATTCATACTTTTGCTGGACCACAACTGAGAAGAGATTGCTACACTATAATTACAAAACAAGGTTTTGATGAACCAACTGCAATTGCAAAAATTACTCGAGGGTATTGTCTCCCTTCCAAATATGTTATTCACACTGTTGGACCAATTGTAGAGGAACAACTTGAAGAAAAGCATATCAACCTTTTGAGAGCAAATTATGTATCATGTCTTGATTTGGCAGATGATATGAAATTGAAATCAATAGCTTTTTGTGGGATATCAACAGGAATCTACGGCTTTCCTGCGAAAGAAGCTGCTTTGGTTGCAGTCAAAAGTGTTCTTTCGTGGTTGCTTGATAATCCCCAAACATCAATTGAGAAAGTTGTGTTTGACTGTTTCACCCCAAAAGATGTGGAGTACTATGAAAATGCCTTCTCCGTGTTTGACAAGAGTGCAAATGAGAAAGACTTTGATATTGTTAATCGAACTAAAAATAAAACACACGTGCTAACAGAAGAAGATTCAAAAAACATGATAAAAGTTGTGAATTTTTTGAAAGACGCCACACATGTGGTTATTGGTGCCGGTGCCGGGTTCTCTGTAGATGCAGGGATAGACTTTATGAACACAAAATATTTCAGAAGCTTTGGGTATCCATTGTACGAATATGGTATAACGAAAATGCTTGAAACGATTGGCTTCCACGACTTCAATGAGGAAAGCCAATTTTGGGGGTTCTTTGCTGTGACAATAACAGAGATGCGATACAAACCTTTAACAAAAGAAAACAGATACTACAAACAACTTTTAGACACATTGAATCAACTCAACAAAAAGTACTTTATAAAGACGACAAACGTGGATGGGCTTTTTGAAAGGAGTGGATTTGAAAAGGATAAGGTATTCCATATCCAAGGGGACATGAACCAAATTCAGTGTTCGAAAGCATGCACAGACGAAGTTTATGAATTTAAACCAATATGTGAAGAGATGCTATTAAATATAGATCCAACAACATTCTGCATTGATGAAAAATACATTCCAAAATGTCCAAGGTGTGGAGGTAAAATGACATTCAATTTAAGAGAAGACGATTTGTTTGTTGATGGACCAAACTTATTTAACCAAAAAGAGTATATCCAATATGTTGGAGAAGGAATGAATGACAAAATGATTCTTTTTGAGTTTGGGGTTGGAAGAGGCACACCAGTCCATATACGATTTCCCTTTGAGAAATATGCGAATAAAGGAAAAAATGTGCTTTTGGTTCGCATCAACATGGACAAAGATTTATTATTAACAGAAGTCGACAAAGATAATTATGCGGGGTTTGGCATGAGTGGCAAAGAGTTTATAGAAGAGATGGTCAAGTAGGGGAACGGAAAATCTGCCCTTTTAAAAATTGCCTTTTCAATAATTCGCCTTTTTTCGCCTTTATTTTTCAACAAAATTTCAAGTCATTTGAATTTTTGTTGAATATTTATTTAAAACTCGTTTACAAAAATAAATCAATCTGTATTATTGTATTTATTACAAAAATATATAATGTTTATAGTTAATTTATATTTATTATCGAGATGGTTTTTATATTAAATAAATAAGTATATATTTTTATTTAAATTCGAAAACTACATTATAATATAAATAATTATTAACAATATTATTATTATATGAATAACTGTAAATATATATATACTGTATAATTATAAAATGTTAATAATTGTATAATATTTGTATTTTAATAACATAAAATATTGATTATAACACAAATAAATAAATAAAAAGTATATAAATAAATATATATTATATTTTATATTTTTTATGATTAAATAGAATTATTTTATTATAAAACGTATTAGGTCATCTACAATATTCAATGGAAAATAAAACAACCACACCATTGGTTATATCCGACATTCCTCAACCTCCTAAATTTGAAATGATTTCATCAACACATGGAAATCCTCAACCATACATTAATGGTATAAATTTAGATCTGTTGATAAAAACGCATATTATTTAATGTGATACAACATGCAAAAACGTATTAGATTGCTTTTGAT